ACCTATAATTGTAGTTATAGGAATGATAGATAGTGAACAGAACATCTGTAATTACAGGTAATTAAGTAGCCTAAGAGATAAAGGATTTAGACAACAAGCCCAAAGTGGAAATAAGGTAAACCTATAAAAGAAGTTATAGGAAGGATATTTGTAGATAAACCTATAAGAGATTATAGGAAGCAGGATGTAGGCAATATGCCCCAGAACAGGATATAAAGAAATAACTAAACAGAACTAGACAGAAATATAATGAATACTTAATTAGGGTTGTAGTTGTTCAGTCTCTTTGGATAAGAGGTTATATTGTAGTAGCAGGTCCTTTTTTTATATTTATTTTACAAACAAACCCCCCCAAGTAAAAATAAATAAATAAATATTTTTTTTTTTATTTTTTTTAAATCTCTGAAAAAAAACCCAAAATAAATAAATAAATAAATAATTTTTTTTTTTTTAAATCTCTGAGACTTGACACAGGGATTCAAACAACATAATCCTTGCTAACTTTTAGTGTATCTGTTTGTCCAGGGTAACCATGATTTGACCGAGTCCCTGTTACTGAAAAAGGGATTAGATTCCATCCTATATTGATATTCTATTTGTTCCATAATATTATGCCAAGATAAAGGGATGGAAGATTTCCATGCCTTAGCAATGCAGATTTTAATAGCAAAAAAAGATATGGGTCAGAAGATATTTTTGGTAATTATCTTGTGAGGGAAAAACGATATTAAAAAGAAAAAGTTGGGGACTGATTTCTTTTATTTCCTTAAAAATAGAATTAACAAGACCAATCATTTGATTCTTAACATTATTAAACCCCTGAAATTCCCACCATATGTGATACATAGTGCCCTCCTCAATTCTACATCTCCAACAGATCTTAGAGTAGGCAGATGATATTTTGTGAAGTCTAACCTGTACCATATACCATCTATATATTATTTTTAAGTGAGTTTTGTAGAGAGAAACACTATGTAGACAACGTTTTACTAGGAGTGTAGCTTTGGTCCATTCCACAAGTGGAAATGATTCCCCAATATCTTGTTCCCATTTAATAAAGCCATTTATAAAGAGAGCCACGGGGAGGAGGGTTATATACTGCTTTGTACTGCATGGTGTTTTATCTTGCCACTTTGTTCATTTACTTTATTTTGATATTTTTTATATAATGTTGCTGTAACTCTTGGGAGATTCCCTGAGGAAGCCCTGGTTTGGGTGAAACATGTAGGATTACTCCTAAGCAACCTTTTTTATCCTATGGCTTTTTACCATTTTAAAATTTACACTCAATTAAATAAATAGCAGTTTTTTCACCTGTATCATGAGTCCAGCTCTCCATACTTGCAGCGAATTGCTACAGGAAGAGGCGTCCTGGTTTAGCCTGCCAGTTGTATCGGGGGAGGCACCCTTCTGCAATTTATTCAACAACATCTTGTGAGTGCAATCCACATCTGCACAGTTTATTATCTCATGTAACAGTGTTACACTATATTTGTTTTTTTGTGTTTCCTAATTATATCTGTAGATCTACAGCCATATTCTCCTACACACTTGCTGTTTTTCCGTACCATACTAAAGGAATATTGTCTGGGATATTCCTGGAGAGGGCTACCAATATCTAATAAGATGTGTTTTTTTTCCATCACATTATTGATAAACTAAGTGTTGGATACATTTTGTGTTAGTTTACATTCTTCTTTACTGTGTGATAAACAATTAAGTGAATAGCTGCCCAGTTCCTGGAGATTGTGAGTTAGAAGTTTCAGGAAGTACTGGCCTGCCCTCACTGGAGCCATGAGATGCATATCAACAATCAGGGTGAAGACAGAGGTCATGGGAAGCAGAGAGGTCAAAGGTTGGGAAATAGAAACAGGATTGTGAGAGAAAAAGTCCATATACTTAACTGGGTTGAGCTGTGTATATTTGGATTGAATATTTTCAGTTTGCAGACTATACAGAGCCGAATATAGTGACTAATTTTCACATGGATAGATCCATATTCTGATTAAAATGTATTTGCAACATCAAAATGAGGTGCATTTGGTACTATGCTATGATACCAATATGGGAAATGGGAATTCGACACTTGATACAGAATACATACTGCTACATACAATGACAAATAATGCACACTAAGATTCTAGGGATGTAATTCTAAATTAATTTAAAGTATAATCTAATCAACTGGCTTACGTTTGTGCTGAAGGTGACACTTGGCCACAGCAAGGTGACTTCCCTGCATTGAATTTTGAGCTTCCATACATGGGTGCTGTGTTAGCCATTCATACCTCCCAAGTCTCTCTGTTTAGGAGGGAAAGTCCTTATTTTTGGCACTAATCCCTCTGTCTCTCTTTATATGTTAATATGCCTCTTTTTTTAGGAGCTTGTAATTGCTTGTTTGCTTTACTGTACAACAGATATCCAAAGCCATAATTTTTCCATTACTGTGTACTGTAAAATAGTTCAAAAGTCATGTTCTTGTTCTAAATTACATTTTAGTTGCATTAGTTATTACTAAGTCACTTAAAATTTATCTGAACCGCTGTGCCCCTGACAACACTCCTAAAATTGAAGTGCCCCTATTTGTTTATTTGAAATATTGTGTGGTATGCCCATGGACCTTAACTTAGCTCTATTTTAAGTTATCTATAAAAAAAAAAAAAAAAAATGTTATCTTGCTAGGATTGAATATTTGTGGTCTTAAATATATAACATCTTTGTTTACTCATTTAACCCCTTGTCACGATTCCCTTATATTCCAGAAGTTTGGTCCTTAAGGGGTTAAAAGTTTAAAAAACCGAGGCATAGGGTCACTTTAATGGTGTAAATGTTTTGTGTGGGATATTTCACAGAGAAGATGTTTGTGTCTGCTTTTTTTTCCTGTGGAAAGCATCAGATTGTATATTTGTATGTGGGAAGGATTAATTTAATTGGAATAATTTGCTTTGTAGGATGGAGTGTTAGCAGGTGTCAAAGTGTAGGTGGATAGACATCAGAAAGTGTGCTTTTCTATGTGGGTAGATAGAAATTTCAAGATAAAATAAATAAAAATGAAAGACGAGTAGGATAGAAAAACATAAATTGATCAAAATGTGGGGAAAAATAAAATATACACATAAAAGTGTCTTTGGGAATAAATATAAAACTGTATAGAAATCTAAGGGACTGTGGCTCCATAAAGGAGTTTTTGTATGTGTGCATATATATGATTGTCTGGGTACAGCTATTGGCATGTGTATGGGGCTGGATCTATTTGTACATGCATGTGCTGAGTATCTGGGCCTACATATCTCTGGATATGTGAGGAGCTATTATGAGTTTGTCTGATTGGCAGGCCTACATGTGCAAGAAGCATATGGAATATATATATGTGTACACATGTTGGGGCTGGGGCTTTATATTCAGATGGAAAATAAAAGACAGTGTGGAGGATGAGAGAGGTAGATGATTTAGGGGTCACAAATCATAAGCTTAAAAAAAGGTTGATGAACACTGCTTTACCACAGGAATCATGTGTAACACTAGAATTATATATTAAAAAAAAACACTGTGCAGTATACAACGATTCCAAAACAATATTAATGTTAAAACACACCCTTGGTCTTTACCACTCATTTTCTTCTGAGCTTTCAGGTTTTACTTTGGATTTGCTGGGAGCTCTATCTTCAGTCTTCCTCCTGTGGAGGACCAAGGACTGAGATTTGAAACAGTTTTAAGTACATTTGTGGACTTGGCCCATTTTTGTGGTTCTTATATCCTCATATGTTGAATGTGAGTGTATTGGCTTTTATTTTATACAATAAATAGCTTTAATTTGAATATACTTGATCATATTTCTCTCTGTATTTTTACCTTACTTGAGATTTGAAGGAGTGAAGCTATTTTGTTTCCAAAACTGAAGATTCCACTGCACTACACAAAGAGCACTGCAATGGCTCTATAACAAGTGAGCTAAATGTGATTAGCACACATAAATAGAAATTTGGAATCTGTATATACTTCACCACAATAGTTTGTTATATTATATTCTACACATCACATTTTGCATTTGATGGTAAATGGTAGAAATAGCGCTGGTCATCCTCTATGTTCTGGGCTACTTTGAACTCTCAAGCTAGTTTTGCCTATGGCAACAACGTTCCTCACTTACTTCCAGTCAACAGTTATTCAATCTAAATTTAAATAAATTGGGAAGATAGAAAGTACCCTGAAGCTTCTGATAAATGTAAGGCTAAAACCTTCAATAAAAGCTGCTAAGTTGAAATGTGATACATTTAAAAGGACACTCCAGACTTTAGCTTACTAAGCTGTTTTTTTTGTGTGAAGCTTTTTATCTCTTTATCTTACAAAAAAGATTCTAGTAGAAATTTGAACTTTTTTAATTCAACCTTGTTAAACTCCGTGGCTGTCAGGCAACCTGTCCTGTTACTTCCTGGTTATTAGCTCAGTGGACCTCAGAGAACCTGCTTTGCAAAGACTTCTCGTTGAGCTAAATTGGGAAATATGTGATTGGACAGCCCAGAAAGTTTGGGCTGGGTTAGAAAGGGAGGGTTTGCAAAGGCTGCAGACAAGAGATTTGCAAGTTGTCTCTAGGGAAACCCCAATGAAAAAAAATACATAATTTAAATGCATGTATGCTTTGAGTGGGTTATATCTCTTAAACACTGATTTATTTTGAATTTATTTTATTTGGGCAGTGCAGTGGTCCTTTTAATATTTACTAAACAACTTTAGAAATGGTGAGGGCAGAGGCCACAATTGCACACTCATTGTACCAAAATTCCCACCACCCATAATAATACATCTGTTAGAGAGTGTTATTATCCCATATAGTGTCACTATGCAGACCCCTACGGATTTGGAGGTTAATGCTCCTATCACCTCTGGGAGTGCCATTAGGCAGCGAGTGGCCCCTGTTCCTACTAGAACCCTGACGCATCAGGGAGAGGACGAAGCGTCAATGGAGCAGATGAACTCGGAGTAGTTCCTTGGACGCTACCATGACCAAATTTGTCCCACAGGCCATTTACAATTTGTCCCACTCCATTACCACTGCTATCATGGCATCTAGTCACGCTCCTGGCTTGACACTACCTAATACCTCTGACGATAAGCCGATGGTCCCTAACAGCCTTAAGGCTCCCACTATGTGGGCAAAAATAGACAGGTTGCATCCTTTTACTATTGAAGAGGTGGTGCCCACACGTAAAAGAGCCACCTGCCGGGCAAAAGCGGTGCAGACATGGAAGAGGGCTAAAACCCTGACTGATTCTTCCGACTCTGGTTCAGATTCTGAGGAGGTTTCGGATGAGTCTGCTGTGATTGGCTCTATTTACTCGGACTGGGTAACTCGGCTCTATTGACTCAGACTTGATAACTATGTCAGTACCTTTACGGCACTGGGCAAGGCACAAACAAACACGAACACACACACATTGCCCCCCATACACGCACACTGCCCCCAAACCCCCACACACACACTGGCCCCCATACACGCACCCACTGCCCCTACACACACACACAGACACTGCCCGTCCCCATACACGCACACACTGCCCGCCCCATACACATTGACCCCCCGCACACACTGCCCCATACGCACATACACACTGCCCCCCATACGCACATACATGCAAACTGCACCCAAACCCCCACACACACACACACACTGCCCTCAAACCCCCACACACACCCTATACACACATTGCCCCCAATACACACTGCTCTTCCCCACACACACACACACACACACACACACACTGCTCCCCCATACATACACACACTGCTCCCTCCCCCCACACAGACACACACACTGCTCCCCCCCATACATACACACACACACACACACACACACAAACTGCATCCTTCACACCATACCATTGGGTTTTATTTGATTGACTGACGCCGGTCTGTGAAGTATTTCTCCTCTTTTCGATGGTCACCGGGTGCTAAAAGATTGCAGAACACTGCTGTAAAACACGTAGGTATGAATCATTTCGAAATCGATTTAGAAGCACTTCTACCGGCAAGGTATATATAAAAAGACCCAATATGTTAATTGCAACAATGTCAATGTTATTTATTTAGTGACTTGTAGGAAATGTTGCAAACACTATGTCAGGCAAACTGCCAGGATGTTGAAGTATAGGATTATGGAACAGATGCTATTGCCAGTTTTGATAATACAAACTCTACTCCAGTTGCTAGACAATTTTGTGAACGTAATGGTGCTTAATTAAAATGTTTAAAAATACGGTAAATTCAGTACAGTAAAGGCTTATACCAAAGGGTCAAAAAGGTGAACTTGTCAAACTTCTTAAATATTTTGAGTCTAAATGGATCTCGACTTTAGGCACACAAATTCAATTTGGCCTCAATTCTATATAGGGTGTATCATGCCATGTCTAATTTCAGTCATTTAAGGTGAATTTAGATTCAGCTCGGTCAAAGGGCAGCTTTGCATGCTACCTTATGAGTTATCTGGTTCTCACCCATCGGACCACCAAAGATCCAGACCAGAATGGAGTTGAATAAATCACCAGGGATTATACCCCACTCCTGCCAAAAGGTAAGCATGAGTTGGCAAATTAAAATTAGAGGCTTCCCCACAAACACTTAACATTCTCCCCTAACAGTCAGATACCACATAGCAGAATACCCCTCCTCCCCCCCCCACAAAACTCAGCCACATTCAGTCTCCCCCTTCTCCACACACAAAATTCAGCTACCACACACACACAAAGCTAAATCAGCACACACAGGCACACTTAGCCTTGCCCCAACTACAGACCACCAGCCTCCTGCACAGAAAACATTCAGCCACTACAAACACATCACTCAGTCTGACCCATACACATACAACACTCAGAAACCACACACACAACGATCAAAGAACAGAGCGAGAGAAGGGGGCCCCAATATGGCATCCTGCCTAGGGCCCTGGGCAATTTTAATCTGACTCTATTGAAGAATCCTTACCACTCTGCTCTTGCATTTTCTTATATGGGTTGGCCATACTAGCCTGTCATACATTTTTAAAGATGCATCAGTCACAACATGCTCTGATATAGAAATATCTGTTTTTGTTGACCATTAACTTTGATTCATTTTCTTTTTACTTTTCATTTTTAAATTTTAATCTCCCCCCTTTTTAGAACAGTTTTCTTTATCACTTTAATAAATGTTTATGATTCTGGAGTCTAGTATCAGACTTAATTAATTCTAGCATTGCATTTCTTTGTACTATGTACTTGCAACGATTATGTTTGATCCTACTATTTAAAAAGTGTGAATGGGGTTGGATTAAAATATTCAGTAATTGAGCAGTTCCTCTTCTTATGTGACGAGTGAGACCAGTGAACTTATGGAACAGTTTACCAGGAGTTGGAGCCCAGTTGCAGGAGATGGCACAGGAAGCAGGCAAAATCCAAAACACAGTACAGATTAAGGGAAAATCCAAAGGCAGGTTCAGGCGAGATGCAGAAGTCAGGGCTGGCAGCGGAGTAACAAAGTCGGTAAATCAGGCAGAGGTCAGAGTCCAGGAAATCAGTCGGCAGCAAATCAAAGATCCGGCAGGAAACACCAAACAGGCAAAATGACCAGATCATAGGTTTCAGGCAGGGCTGGCTTTTACAGCCTGCTAATTAGGTGCAGCTGACCCTAATTGGAAAAGGGCTGCAGGTAGACCAGTGCTGCTTAATGCAGGCATGGGGTCAGGAAGCAGAAAAAATGCAAACAGAAACTGAAGCCCCCTGGTGGACAGCATGGCAGAGAACCTGACTGGGATGCTGGAGCTGAGTTCAAACCCAGCCAGGTCTCTTAAAGGGGCAGTCACGCCTTGCTGTCTGCAGGGCTCAGGCTGAGCCGTGACACTAGCACAGGAAGAGATAGGGTTGTGAGGGAAGGAGAGAGGGGCAGTTGGTGCTGGAAGGGAGATGTAGGAGCAGGAGGGAGGGAACCAGAGCCACATACCTCATTAACCAGCAATCCTCTTCCTCAGCTGCACCAGGGGAAGTGGAGTTCTGACAACTCCACCCCCTGGTGCACACAGCCAATGAGAACCCTGTAGGCGGGTCAGAATTTTGTACTTTTTAATTAGGGTGGCTTTTGGATGCTTATTGCTGCCCTATGCAGTGGCGTCGCTAGGGGGGGGCCAGAGGGGGCCATGGCCCCCCCTACATCATGCTGTGCCCCCCCTTGGGCCCCCCCAAATGCTGGCAACTAGCTGGCCATCTGCTTCCCTCGGACTGTTACAGCCTGTGACAGCCCGAGGGAATGCAGTGCTGAGGTGCTGGAGGCTGTCTGTGGCTGGAGGGAGCACTGATTGGCTCCCCGGCACAGGCTCCGCCCCCAAACGAAGCCCCGCCTCCCGCCGGTAAGCCCCGCCCCCGCCGTTATGCAGCAGCCCATGCTGCTGCTGAAGATGGCTGCCTGACCCCCACAGGTGACAGGTAGGCTGGGGGGGGGGGTGTACACACACACATTGCCCCCATACACACACACTGCCCCCATACAGCCTCCCATACACACACACTGCCCCCATACTGCCTCCCATACACACACATTGTCCCCACACACACACTGTCCCCATACTGCCCCCCCATACACACACTTTTCATCCCCATGCCCCCCCATACACACACACTGCCCATGCAGCCTCCCTTCACACACACTTTCATCCCCATACTGCCCCCCCATGAGACACACACTGTCCCCATGCACACACACACTGTCCCCATACAGCTCCCATACACACACACACTGTCCCCCATGGGTACCCCCCATACACTGTCCCATACCCTTTGCTGGGGCACACTGTCCCCATGCTGCCCCCCCATAGACACACACTGCTGTCACTTTATGCTGCCCCAGCCACACTTTTGCACTGCCCCATGCAGCCTCCCATACACACACACTGCCCCCATGCACACACCCTTTTATTACACACTTTTGTGCCCCCCATACTGCTCCCCATAGACACATTTGCCCCCCATGCTGCTCTCTCCATGCACACACTGCCCCCCCATTACACATATTTGCCCCCATACTGCTCCCCATAGACACACATTGCCCCCCATACTGCCCCCCATACACACACACTGCCCCCCATACACACACATTGCCCCCCCATACACATACACTCTACACACATACACTATCCCCATACACACACACTGTATGGACTCAGCAGTCTGTGTGTGTGTATGGACTGAGCAGTCTGTGTGTCTGTGTGTGTGTGTGTGTATGGACTCAGCAGTGTGTGTGTATGGACTCAGCAGTGTGTGTGTGTGTGTGTGTGTATGGACTCAGCAGTCTGTGTGTGTGTGTATGGACTCAGCAGTTTGTGTGTGTATGGACTCAGCAGTCTGTGTCTGTGTGTGTGTATGGACTGGGCAGTCTGTGTGTGCATGGACTCAGCAGTCTGTGTGTGTATATGTGTGTATGGACTCAGCAGTCTGTGTGTGTGTGTACGGACTCAGCAGTCTGTGTGTGTGTGTGTACAGACTCAGCAGAGTCTGTGTGTGTGTATACGGACTCAGCAGAGTCTGTGTGTGTGTATACGGACTCAGCAGAGTCTGTGTGTGTGTATACGGACTCAGCAGAGTCTGTGTGTGTGTATACGGACTCAGCAGAGTCTGTGTGTGTGTATACGGACTCAGCAGAGTCTGTGTGTGTGTATACGGACTCAGCAGAGTCTGTGTGTGTGTGTACGGACTCAGCAGAGTCTGTGTGTGTATACGGACTCAGCAGAGTCTGTGTGTGTGTGTACGGACTCAGCAGAGTCTGTGTGTGTGTGTGTGTACGGACTCAGCAGAGTCTGTGTGTGTGTGTGTGTATGGACTCAGCAGCCTGTGTGTGTATGTACTCAGCAATCTGTGTATGTATGGACTCAGCAATCTGTGTGTGTATGGACTCAGCAGTCTGTGTGTGTGTATGGACTCAGCAGTCTGTGTGTGTGGACTCAGCAGAGTGTGTGTGTTTGTGTACTCAGCAGTCTTTGTGTGTTTGTGTACTCCGCAGTCTTTGTGTGTGTGTGTACTCAGCAGTCTGTGTGTGTGTGGACTCAGCAGTCTGTGTGTGTGTGGACTCAGCAGTCTGTGTGTGTGTATGGACTCAGCAGTCTGTGTGTGTGTATGGACTCAGCAGAGTCTGTGTGTTTGTGTGTGTATGGACTTAGCAGTCTGTGTGTGTGTATGGACTCAGCAGAGTGTGTGTGTTTGTGTGTATGGACTCAGCAGAGTGTGTGTGTGTGTGTGTGTGTGTATGGACTCAGCAGTCTGTGTGTGTACGGATTCAGAAGAGTCTGTGTGTGTGTACGGACTCAGCAGAGTCTGTGTGTGTGTATGGACTCAGCAGAGTCTGTGTGTGTGTATGGACTCAGCAGTCTGTGTGTGTGTATGGACTCAGCAGAGTGTGTGTGTGTGTATAGACTCAGCAGTCTGTGTGTGTGTATGGACTCAGCAGTCTGTGTGTGTACGGACTCAGCAGAGTCTCTGTGTGTGTATGGACTCAGCAGTCTGTTTGTGTTTGTGTATGGACTCAGCAATCTGTGTGTGTGTGTGTGTATGGACTCAGCAATCTGTGCGTGTGTGTGTGTATGGACTCAGCAGTCTGTGTGTGTGTATGGACTCAGCAGTCTGTGTGTGTGTATGGACTCAGCAATCTGTGTGTGTGTGTGTGTATGGACTCAGCATTCTGTGTGTGTGTGTGTGTGGACTCAGCAGTGTGTGTGTATGGACTCAGCAGTCTGTGTGTATGGACTCAGCAGTCTGTGTGTGTGTATGGACTCAGCAGTCTGTGTGTGTGTATGGACTCCGCAGTCTATCAATAATTAAAATTCCTGTGAGTTGTTGTGTAGGAAGGGCCCCAGTGTATTGCTTTGCCCAGGGGCCCTTAACTCTGTTAAAATGCTCTGCTGCTTGTGTGTGTCAGTGAGCTTCTATTTAGTGAGCATGTGTGTGTCAGTGAGCTTGTCTTTAGTGAGCTTGTGTGTGTGTCCCTGAACTTCTTTGTAGTGAGCCTTCTGTTTATACAAGTGAGTGTCTGTAGTAAGCTTGTGTGTGAGTCAGAGAGTTTTGTCTGTCAGTAAGCCTATTTGCGCATGTCAGTGAGCTTGTGTGCTTACTGTAAAATATATATATATATATATATATATATATATATTATTTTGACTTGTAGGAATGGCATACTTTTTTTTCCAGGGCTGCTTTGGATTCCCAGTTTGGCTCTGCCAGCGAGTGCACTTTACCGCTGAATAATCTGTGTGAGCTGCCGCACACTTTAGCCCTGTTACACGCGTCTGGGAGCTGCTGTTGACAGGTACTAGTAGTCTAGAGATTGGGGTATATGCTCAGCTATCTGTATAATACAGATCTGTGTGTATAAAATATCCCGGGATAGTCAGTGCTTCCTGTATAGTGCTGCTCTCTGTCTTGGGATTATACAGAGAGCAGCACTATACAGGGAGCACTGAGTGTCCCAATTTATTATACACACAACCCTGTATTATACAGAGAGCACTGACTGTCCAGGGATATTATACCCAGACAGTAATTGATAGCTGTGCTGCAAAATGTCCTTGGAAATTTTTTTTCAAATGTTGGCAACTATGGCACTGTATCAAGGATAATGTGTTTGTTTTTTTAATAATCCCTGGTGGAAAATCATGATTCCTCCACCAGGTATTATTAAAAAAACAAAACACATTGTGTCGGGGGCGTGGCTTAACATGTGACAGGGGCGGGGTCAAACTGCGGCGAGGGCGGGGTTAAATGTGCCCCCCTACTTTTGTCACTGGCCCTCCATGTGCCCCCCCGAAAAATGAATCCTAGAGACGCCACTGGCCCTATGGGCTCCATTAAACAATAAGGGACTGCCAGGCAGCCAATGACATTGAAGTAGACGATTTCACATTTGATTTAATCACATTTTTGGAGGTCGCCAAATATCTGATTAGATTTTTTTACTCTCCTTAGCAACAATGGGAACTGCAGCACTAATATTAAAAGGACAGGACACATTTTTATCAAACAGACACGTATTAAACGTGATAGCTTACACAAAAAAAGTTAAACACCCAACCAAAAGAATTATATATATTTTTTATTCTATTTTTTTTTTTCTTTCAAGATAACTGGTGGAGCGCTGCCCCACCTGCCCTTATGGAGGAGCCTCCACTGTCAGATAATGTGGTTTAGCTTGAGAATGAGATTTCAGCATAAAAGCCCAGAGACAGATTTTATCCAGTGTACATAGATGCATTATCTTTTTTTTTTTTCCTGTTATCATTTCCTCAAAGTGAACTCCAAAATGTACGTCACTGGAGTTTTTTTACTCACTCATGCTTACTTAGCTGTTATAAATGTTTAAACTATTCAAATCAAGCTGTGATATACAGCAAAGACAGACAATGGCAAGCACTTGGATTCACATCATTATTTTAGGAAGTTGTTTGCTTGTCACACAACTAAATGGTAAGTAAAATATTATGTATTGGTAATGTTTATTTATCAACTAAATTCTAGTGGGGTTTTTTAAGTTTCTCCTTTCATATTCAATTTGTGTTCACGATTATTTTAAATTATTGGCAAAAAATAGCTAAATTGATAAAAATCTCCTGGTCAGCTATTTTGGCCCAATATATATATATCAATAAATTTGAAATAATTCTGAATTTCTGACAATTCACACTTTAGTGGATAGCTGTGCCTAACTCGGTTAGCTTTAATTATTATTCTTTGTAACTTGAACTTTTTGTTGCTGAAACTACGTATTATCTGTCCGCAAAGATACATTGAAAGGATCTGGAAGTAACGCTGCTGACTGTTTTTTCACCATCCTTTTTAATTCATTCAGAGTTATCTACTAACAGTGTTATACAGTAAAGGGATAATCAAAAGTTGTTAAGTTGAAATTCACTTTGAATTCTCACTTTGGAATAACCCCTTTAAATCCCAATAATTCTCACTTCAGCGAATAAACCGGACTGTGTAGTAGAATTTACCTGGTGTGTTTCCAGCAATAGTGTAATACCATTGAATGTACAAAGTGATTCAAAAGAAGCATATAGTAAATAAATTACAACAAAATTGTTTCTCTCCTATAATGTGAATTATGCAGCACGTTTTAGGCTCCACTAATCATTGAATTCACTTGATTAACTGCATCCCATGAAATCAATACAATACGAATGTTACATATCTATCACTGATTTCTAGGGAAAGATGCTGCATACGCATAGATGTAATAACAATAATAAAATCATACAGACAAAAGAAAAAGTAGACTGCAAATTTACAAAAAAAATACTCAACACAAACATTAGAACACAAACATGAAAAAAATTATTGCACAGTTTCTCTTGAGTGCCATTTTCCATTTTGGGAGAGGAATAATAGACAGATGACTGTGGCTTTCAAATGTCATATGAATATTTTGGAAAAAACAAACCAGAAAAACCACAAAATGTATGTTGCTTATCACACAGCATTCTAATGTCCTTTAGCACGTGTTTGCATAACTATTTTTAAACTGGCATGAGTCATGTCTCTTAAAGAAAATAACCAAGTAAAATCCTTAATTCATTGGCCAGTCTTACAGTATAATGCATGTCTATGCCTTCTATAATTGATTTCCAATAGTTAACAGTCTGACGGTAGGCTATTTCTATTTCACTTGATATTCTTTCTGCTGCACACCTTTATTTATAACAGAATATAACCTCAATAAAATTAAGATAATTGGCAAATGAATCACACGTGATTGGACAAAATAGATGAATGGGTAAAGTTTAACATTTGTTATTTATTTAATATGAACTTATTTTACATTCGTTCTTTAACATTTGTACAATGCAACAATTCTTAGTATACAGGAAGCAGACAAGTTACTAAGTAATAGTGAACAGATAAAGCTTACATAAAAATTATGGGTGTGATCAGATAATTGAGAACCCTCCAAAGTATACAGGCACCCCAAATCAGGGAAATAATATTCAAGGAATATCAAGCAAAGTCCAAATACAGTACCAATACATTACTATATAGTTTATAGACAATAATGTATGACAGAATATATAAACAGAATGATCACAGATGAATAAAAAAACACTAACTTGGCTTGTGCTATTTTTCACACTTCTCATTGGTGTCTATGTGGAAAATGAGATGCAATATATTGATCTCTTTTATTCAATCTAAAATCTTTAAGAGATCTATGGCAAAATACCTCAGCACAGAATGCACCTGTCATGGTTGAATATATTTATCACCTGTTATGTGTTAAATTTATATGTGTGTGTGTGTGTGTATATATATATATATATATATATATATATATATATATTGTATATTTGTAATATTGTACCCTATTGTAACAATACAATGTTTTGTAGACCCAGGACATACTTGAAAACGAGAGAAATTTTAATGTATCAATCCTGGTAAAATATTTTGTAAATAAATAAATATATCAGAGATAGCTATAACAGTTGTCCCAGTGACTTTTTTTTAGGAAAACTTCTACTGAATTACAACAGATAAGATTATCTCTTCATATGACCTACTGGTTTTCCTAGTGAATAAAACCACCAAGTATTACAACAGAACGCCATACCTTTTAGAGTTGGAATTAAAATGTGAATATTAGCATTAAGGGTATCAATGAGAGGTCCACATTAGAGTTCATGCTTAGTAATTAGAGATAGAGATTAGGACTAGTAATTAGGGTTAGTAATACGTTTAGGCTTAAAGTATTCTAAGGCAATATATGCAAAATGTAAGGGTAACCCTTTTCGCATATTAAACATACTGAGAAATACATATATAAATTGGATTTTCTCAGAATAAAAATAATGAAGTTTGGCCAGTCATTTATCATCTTTAGGGCTAAATTTTATGAAAGACAGTAAAATATGTAAAAACAGGTGTGCCATTTTCTCCTACATTGTTACCTTATCCTGCTTCAGGGGTTAATAAAAGGGCAAAAGCTATAGACATTCAGTGGATTTAGAGTTACTGGTGAGTTTTCCAATGCATTGATTAATTAAACATGTAACCAGCAGTGGGAATACCAGTAGTGCAGGGGGTCTGGCCACCCTATTATGGAGGGACAGTCCACTATTTTGGCCTTAAATTCCCCTTTCACTCTTTTCTGTCTTGTTCCTCTTTTGAATGAGCTGGTGTTCTTGGTGTGTCCGAGTGTATACCAGTGCTCCATGGCAATAATACTCACAGTAATATGACTGTAAATGACAATAAATATGTTTAAAAAATTAGTCTATGTAAAAGATATGTATTATTTTGTTCTAAATTAGTTGGATAAATAGGTAATAGTTTGACCTTGTAAAAAAAAAAGTGTTTTACTTAACTTTTCTCCTTCGTAGCGCCAGTCTCTGCAAAAGGCACTTAAACACTGCAGTGAAAACTTTGCAATGTAAAAAAACAGGTGTGAAGGGGGCATAGAACCAAGACCACTTCATCTCTGGGTGTCTATAGTGTCCATATGCATTTTTATACAGTTGATCGACCTTTATACCATTATATCCAGTTTGGCTATGATTTGGTTCACTGGTTCCGTACTATTCTGATTGTCCCTACATAGTTAATTTGAGCAATTCATCAACCTCAAACATTTTTTTGTCCAATGTGAGTTTCACAAAGTTCAGTGTTTTCCCCCTTAAACTCCCCCATCTAGATAAGCCCCTTTGCTTTCCTTTCATGGCTTTAGGATGGATTTCATCCAAATCTTCCATTCCCTCTCTCACACCTGAAAATTCTAACATCTATTAGACCATGTCTTTCTGCCTCTCTGATATGGTTTCCTAGATCCCATCATGCTTCCAGAAGTGTTTCCTTCTAGGTGCATTCGCGGTAGGATGGCAAATGATAGAATTTCAAATTGTAACTCACAAGCTTACAAAAAAAACAAATGACGTAAAGACAGCAAAATGATAGACAGCAACATTATGTATAGTAATAAAATAATACAATCTGAAAAAAGACTCAACCTTTCATACATCTCTCTTACAGCTGTTGATGAAGAAGAAGGTGAGAAACCTCATTTTATTTCACAATTGGAAAAAAAATCATTCTTAACTACAAAATTGAAAGCTGAGATCTACTTCGATTAACAAGTGGTTACCACATATTAACTATTATATTCTGAAATAATAAATTTTTCCAGAAATGTCGAGACAAATAGAATAAGTGTTGAATGTTTGGTATTGTAAATTAGAGTTTGGCACAGGGAATTAGGGCCTGAAATCAGGCATTAATCATATGGGTTAAGAATATGTGGCTAGGCATCAGTACTAGTCCTTAGGAGGTAAACTGTAAGTACCTGATAAAGACAAAGATGCCCAAGGTGCACAAGCATGTGAGTGTTACGGGTGACTTCCCCATCTCGAGGGACTATCTTCAATAAGTGAAAGATCGGTTGGAAGAGATGACTTTGACACCAGCTCCATTCAGAAATCTGGTAAGTAACATATACATCTTATAGTAACTACATCTTAATGTTATATTATAACTTAATGTTATATTATATTAAAGGGCAGTCTAGTTATGGTGTCAGAAGTCCTCTGGCACTGTCCCACTATAAACTGTCAAGTCATTTCCGGTTTCACTTATTTGGGTCACCTGGGTTCCTGCAGTAACACCGCCTTTTCTGATACATCTTAAGCAAATGTTCCTCTTCCACAATAGATATATCACTATCTAGGCAAAATTAATTCATTCTTAGCCAATGGATTGAAGTCAGCAATGCAGAAATAGTGAACCATATTGGCAATATCAGAAAAGGAAACTGACTACAGAGCATTTGACAATGTTTTGACTACCTACTATGGGATGGTACCAGGTGGCTCTTGGCAACTTCAGCAGAGTGTATGGTGCAGAGTGTATGGTGCCAAGATCACCTCTTAAACCTATAGAATATTATACGTTGTGTGCCGTTGTTAAAAGTATTATTTAATACTAGGGTAACATAGATCTGTATGAGGTATCATTCATATGTGAAGATTGTAGTGAGCGGTACTAAGGTGTATCTATCAAACTAATGATTATATAATCTTAAAGGACTACTCCACACCCCAAAAGCACTTCAGCTTGCTGAAATGCATTATAGGTGAGGAGTACCCTAGTTTAACCCCAGTTTATAAAAGTGCCGATTTCGATGAGAAATCCTCTGATTATTTCTGATTATTTTGATGAGAAATCCTCTGGTTATTTCCCCCTGAAGAGACTGAAAGTCTCTTCTAGGAAAACATGGGAGGGCTTACAAAGGCTGCAGTCATAAAAACTGCAGCTTTTGTAAGCTCTTTAAGACTATACTTCCAATGAATACATCCATAAAAATATGCATGCATGTATTCATTGGGGTATATCTACCAAACAGTATTTTTTTGTTTGTTTTTTATGTGTGGAGTGGTCTTTAAAGAAGCATGTAGGAAAATGTGAAATGCATGTAACAGAAAAAATATATAGTTATGTGGTACTATAAAAGTTTATTGAAAATTAGGATGCCAGGCAAATTGATTTATTTTCATTGATGCTTTGCAACAGCACATAGCAACCATTGCATTTGCAATAGCTATGTGTTAATAGCTATTTATATAAAGTCACACATGCTTAAACATAAATAATGGATTGATTACAAGCTAGTTACATTTATTCATTATTTCTTATATTGCACTTTAGCTGAAGAATCACCATACCCCTGCAGGAAGATAGAAAGTCTCAATGGTTTTGGGAATCCTTGTATTGGATACAGCAGCCCTCACTTATTCGTTGTGTTATAGAGAGCGCCTCTTACTTTCTGTTTCTATAATTACATAGCCTTCCTCACATTTGGTTTTTGCTGTTAATCCAAAAGAAGACAAAAAAAACCAGTTTGAAGCACTTCCAATTTTGCAACAAGCTAGGAAAAAAATGCCTTCTTGACCCCAGAATGGCAGTCAGATTTATCACTCTGCTTTTTAGTAGCATTTTGACTTTTTAACTTTTGACATTTAAAAAAAAAAAAAGTTATAGAAAATACCAGGTTTGCAGCTGTCACTGTTTTTTTTAGAAATGCAGCAACAGATAATATCTTCATTCTAACCCCAAACGTGCATCCTACTCCCTTAGCTGTGAAAATCCCCAACGCTCTAAAAAATGGAAAGTGCAGCTTTATATTTTGCAGTTTTGTATTACTAATGTAAACATGTACTTAGGTGATTTCATTTGTGAAATACTTATGAATCATCTACCTTTATAATCAGCTTTCATGCTCAGCCCTTTTGAAAATGTGACAATTATTTAACAGATTGATCATTCAGGACTGGAGTCTGTTAGAAGAGTCAATCTTAAAGGAATACTATAGGGTCAGCAACACAAATCTGACTCTATAGTGTTAAAACCACTTTTAGGTGGCTTACTCCATCTTGCCCCCTTAAAAGGTAAAAAACTTACCTTATTTCCACCACTGGTGAGATCACCAAGGAGGCTGGGTGGGGTTGGGGGCAAACTGTAGCATGTCAAATAAGCACTGCCCCAGGAAGCACCTGCAGTGCTTTATCGTTGAAAAAGCAGTTTTTACAGCAAAAAGACTGAAGGTACAGGCTATACTCACCAGAATAACTACATTAAGCTGTAGTTGTTCTGGTGACTATAGTGTCCCATTAACATTGGAAACTACATAGCATTTATCCTCATTTACACACATGCGGCAATTTTGATTCAATAACCAGAGATATGCCTGTTTCTTAAAGGGACATTCCACTGCCCAAATAAAAAAACAACACAAAACACTGTTTTGTATATATATCCCCAATGAAAACATATTGCATTTAATTATGCATTTTTCCATTGGGGTATATCTAAAAGAAGCTCAAGGAGAAGTCTTTGAAAAAAACAGGTTCTGCTCCACTGAGCTACTCAACAAGAAAGTAACGGTTGCCTGATTGACAACCAGGGGGCATTACAAGGTTAATCTATAAAAGTTCCAATATCTATTGAAATCTGCACTTTTTGTAAAATGGAAAAAAGAAGACACATTCGAGACCACTAAAGCACTTCAGCTTGCTGAAGTTCTTCATGTGTGAGGAGTGTGCCTTTAAGTCAATTCAAACCTATAGAATAATCAAATAATAAAAAGCCAAATGATCGAGGTCTAGATTATAGCCTGCTCCTCTATTATTTGTCTTTTTATTATATAATCAATAATTTTAACCTTCTAATTTTTGATATTTTCTAAAAGGTTCCAGATTTGCAGCTGTCACTATTATCAGAAACAAAAGATTGTCAGGATTACTGAAAATCAAGCTGATTAGTGATTTTATCCAGTTTGGCTATGCGACTCTTAAAGTTCAAATTCCGTTTGAATTGAGCTTGAGTTCTCTCTTTAATAACCCTGTATATTTTAGTTCTAACCACAAACATGTTAAGTTGATCCTACAAGTGAAATAATAAATAACATTTTATCATTTCTCTTTGTTCTCAGCTTTCATCATAAATCCTCCTGAAAATGTGACAATTCAATGGCACGAAAATGACATCACTATTTATTGCAAGAATCCAGATATTGATTACCTGAGTATATGCTATGAAATGAAAATGAGGTTCAAAAGCAGCAATACAAATCATTGGGAGGTCAGTATATTTATTGCTATATTGATTTAGAAAGCACGTGAAAATTAATATGTCAATAATGTTCAATAACCACATGCATAGTAGTGTGGATTTTAAAACCATTTCTTATTGTATATTGTTAACTGAGGTAGCCATTCTTCACATGGCCAGCATTGTTCTATGTGTCAATTGATCTATTAGTTTCTGGAAAAACTGGCATATTTGTAAAATTATTTTTAAAGAGAATTCAGATATGATATGCACGCTATTTTACACAATGGAATGCAGGATTTAAGTTAAAAAGTCGTTAGTTCCAGTGAGTTTGCCAATGTACATACAGAGTTTGCACAGTTGTAGGAGAAACATGATGGACAAATGGCTTAAGTGAAAAACTATAGCTGCAAACAGCAAAACATTGTAGTCATAATGCTGCCAGCCATATGAAAAAAACACAGCATCTCAAAGATGGCCCTTTTCTTCTATTGCCCTATTTATTTATTTATAAAATATTTTACCAGGAAAGATATATTGAGATTTCTCTCGTTTTCAAGTATGTCCTGGATCCACAAAACATTGCATTGATACAATAGGGTACAATAAAATACAAAAAAAGTATTAATACACAATATATACAACATTTAACATGTAGGAAATTTATAATCAACCATGACACGTGCATTCTGTTTTGAGGTGTGTAGAGAGGGATCTCTTACAGGACTTTAGACATGGGGAAGATTTTAAAGTGTGCGGGAGGTCGTTCCACAATTGCGGTGCTCTGTAGGAGAAGGAGGATCGGGGCGCTTTCTTTTTGTATTGAGGTAGACTAAATAAAGTGCTGGTACTGGATCGGAGGTTGTAGGAGGTGGGAACAGCCTGGGAGAGCATTTTGTTCAGGTAGGGTGGGAGTTTCCCAGAAAAGCTGTTAACCCCTTAAGGACCAAACTTCTGGAATAAAAGGGAATCATGACATGTCACACATGTCATGTGTCCTTAAGGGGTTAAACACAAGGCTGGAAAGATGAAGGGTGCGTCTGGATTCCAGCGACAGCCAGTTTAGTTCTTTTAGCATGTCACAATGGTGGGTCCTGTTATTACATTGTATGGCAAATCGGCAGAACGAGTTATACAATATTTTGAGTTTATTAATGTGGGATTGCGGTGCAGGTGCATATACTACATCCCCATAACCAATGATTGGCATCAGCATTTGCTGTGCAATCTTTCCTTTACTGTAGGGCTTAGGCAGGATTTGTTTCTGTACAGGGCACCTAGTTTTGGATAAGGTTTAGATGCAAGCTTTTCTATGTGGAGGCCAAAAGATAGATTGGGGTCTAACAACATACCCAAGTATTTGAACAACATGTGGGAGGTGAGGAGAAAACTGATAAGGAAACAGCAAATGGTTTGTACCCAATCCTCCAAATATTGTGTATAGGATGGAGACAATATATATCCATTAGGGGTCTGATAAATCTCCTGAGTAATTAAGTCAAGGGTTATAAAATATTGAAATGGGCTAAGTGGTCCCTAAACCCCAAGACCAAAAGAATGCTTCTGTGCCAAAAAGTTAGAGATTCCACTAATGCCCAAATGCTCTGACCATGACAATATCCTCACCATTTCCTAATTAAGACCAGGGGATTCCCAGTTGAAAGATTTTGGCATATACATGTAAAACATAATTCATTAAAGGACTACTATAGGCACCCAGACCCCTAGTTTTAAACACTGCAGCTGAAAAAAAATCCCTGACAGCCACTAGAGGTGCTTCCGCAATTTACACTGAGTAAATCGCACTTATTTGAAGCTGGACGTCCTCACGGACCTTCAGCGTAAAACAAGATCCCCATAGGATGCGGGTTCGGCTCCATTGGGGTTGACGTCGATGGAGGAGGAGAGGTCACCAGCGCCGAGAGACCATTAACAATTTATTCACCACGGAAGGGGCATATTTGTATTCCTAAAGCTATAGTGTTCCTTTAATCTTATAACTGATTTATGTTTTTATTTAATGACAATCCAGATTGAGAATCAGAACTCACTAAACATTTGCTTGTTGATGACTCATAGTGAGTAGCTGGTTATGAAACATTTCCTTTCTGAACATGACTAGAATGTTAATTTAGTAGTACGCACTACACTTAACTGATATTATAGATCTAGACTATGATAATGATAAGCAAGTAGACAAGCACTAATAGAGATAAAAAAACAGCACACAGCAATAATAGAACTCTATAATGTCATGGATGATAAGCAACATTGCTAACACTAAAAATTGCTAACACACGGAAGGAACTACAATCACTGCTAGTGTCTCTCCATTTTAAAATGAGAATCATACCCCAAGCTTGTTCATTTAACTGTAGGCTGTTATGTCTTTTACATGGACTTCCAGATGATGGTAGTCGGATCACTCTCAACTCATAAACCAGGGCAGACATTACCATGTGGCAATTATTTCTAACCACATGAAACGGTAGATCAATGTTTATCCCCCCTATCTCCGATAACCCTCCTATGTAGTCTGGACATATGGAGCTGTCACCTAAGGCTATGCAGCTATATACTAAAGCGAGTGGGTCCTATCTCAATGGCCCCCTGAAACCTCCCAATTAGAACATTTCTCAAATGCCTTAATTTTGTTTTCTTTATTTAATTCCTTAATTTTCCTCTATTTGAAAATTTTCCCCTAGTAGTGGCAGCATCTGTTTGGGGACATTTGTGGAAAGGGCAAGCAGTCAGGTACTTTACTGATAATAAAGTAGCTTGCCACATTATAAATAAAGGAAAGTCACAATCCGTTACTATAATGAAACTAGTCAGGAAATTAACTTGGTTAGCGGCTATATTCCAGTTCTTACATAGAATGTATACATGTTCCTGGAGTTTGTGAAACTGCTGCTAATGTTTTATCGCGTTCTAAATTCCAGACATTTTCCAAGTTCATCCTCATGGTCCATTCAGAAGGACTTTTTAATTTGCTTTATTTCATTTTGTGTGGTATATTACAATACATATTGTTTTTACCCTTAAAATTTTATGTTTTTTATTTTTTTATCCTGCATTTATTATATAATTTTAAAGGAGCCTCTCCAGGGACACACACACAATTACAGGCAAACAGCCACACACATAAAGCCACACATACAGTCTTACACACACACACAGACTTACATGCAGACAGACAGACAGACATACACACACACACATAGGCAGGCAGCCACACACACACACACACACACACACACACAGAGGCAGACAGTCACACACACATACAGGCAGAAAGTCACACACACACACACAGACAGTCAGTCACATAGACACACAGTCAAACTCACATGCGCGGTGACTGCTGCAAGTGCCTTAGATCCTACCCATGGGAAAGCATTACCTCTGGAAGACAGCCACTAGAGGCAATCTTAGTCTTGGAAAGTAATCATTGCAGTTTTGCAAAAGCTGCACTGTTTTACAGGACTATGGGCAACAGAGACACTGCATCCTGACTATTTCAATGATATGAAATGGTCAAGGTGTCAAAAATGCACCTTGTTAAAAAGCACCTTTAGTGAAGTATACATAGTTTCTTAAAATGCCACAAGTGTTTAAAATAATGTCAATAAATGGGCCTAATGCCCACCTTCTCAATTACACCAAGCATATCTGTATTACGAGAAAACATGGGCTGTTGTTGCTATGTGAAAATAATGTATACTCCCCATTTGCTAGAATGTCACCTTAAAGTTTGACCTACAAAGGATGTAATAGAATATGCAAATAGGTAGAGTAGCTTCTGTTTACAGTCTCTATGCATTAGGTAAAGACAAATTCAATGGAGCAGTGGCATAAGAACAAATTCATATATAGGGTTAAAACCAGTGCTGGAGCAAATAGAAAGGGAGGTGAATTTTGTAGGCTATAATTTGCTTAGCATTGCTTTTCAACACTCAAAAAATTTAAACATACAGAATTATGAGAAAGGACTGGTTTAGGTACATATAATTTCAGTGTGAATTTATGTGATGGTTTAACATGTTGCACCTTCTAATACATTAAATTTTTTTCCTCCATGTTTCTGTGTATTTGATTGAAAAGAAATCTATAGTTTCTTTAGAATGCATGGGATTCATACCTTTTTACTGTACATTTGACGGTATAAACCTGGATCCAGAAAAATGCTATCTAATCGAATTACAATTCCTCGGATTACGTCATTGTTTTAATGAAGACATTGAAAGTGTATGGGGTCCAAACATCTCCTTAGTAAAAGGAATGGACTCAGGTAAGATTTAATGATTTATTGTTGGCAATGTAAATTTTTCATGTTTAACCTCTAATATCAATTTTTCCAAATATTATTAAATATTGTTATTTAAATATTAAATTGAAAAGCTTATCCCTAAATATTAAATGAAGACTTAGTTCACAAATTGCTCATAATTCTCTTTCTGCATGCTTAAATTGAAAAGCTTATCCCTAAATATTAAATGAAGACTTAGTTCACAAATTGCTCATAATTCTCTTTCTGCATGCTTAGGGCAGGATTTCCTAAATAAATGCCCGTGGATTCTAGTTTTGTTATTTTACATTAGTGCAACAACACACAGTAAAGTTAGACTGAACTGCACGTGAAGAAATCAAATTGAAGAGCATGTCAGTTAAAAATCAAATATAGTATAGTTTAATTCTAACCAATTCATTCAAGCTCAAATGATTTGAACAGATGCTCAAAGCAACACAACCTCTACAATGGACTATAATTGTAACTGATTGTAATACTCTAACATTACCCAAACTGTAACTATAACTGAGTTGGAATTATTTTCTTGATCATTTTTTTTTCATACATTTCAGATTTTAGTCCAAGCACGTTTTAGTATTTAATAACCATGGATGACTGGATGAGCATTATGCGCAAATTTTGTTCACAGCTGTTTAAGGAATTAGTGTTAAATGCATACATTGTATATCTTACAAGTGTTTGCAAAGGCTGCAGTTCTTATGAACTGCCACCTTTGTAAGCCCTCCCCTTTTTTCCTTGAAGACAATTTCAGTCTCTTCACAAGGAAATAACCAATCGGCGGCTCCTGTGCGCGCATGCCTGTCTACAACAGAGGAGCTGCTCTGAGGTCTGTGAAGGAGGGGGAGGCAAGTAGAGCGTGGCTGCTACTTCCGTTAGCTTAGACCTTTCAGTCTAAAAGAAATCAGCACTTTTATAAACTGGGGTTAAGCTAGGCTACTCCTCACCCATAAAGCACTTAAGCAAGTTGAAGTGCTTTTGGTGTGTGGAGTGGTCCTTTAATCCCTTAAGAACTGAGCCAAATGTACACGTTGTGATCAAAACAAAACGTAAACAAAAACTTGAATTTGCGCTTAATGTCTGTTCAGGCGTAATTCACCTTTTATTTAAAATACAGTTAGAACGAAATTACACATGTATATATATTTTTTATTTATTCATTTTTTATTATTTTTTAATTTTATTTTTTTACGTATTTACATATTTATTTTTTATTATATATAAATATATATATATGTATATATATATATATATATATATATATATATATATATATATATATATATATATAATGAAAATGATATATATATTTAATCAATATCATTGTACGTGTATTTTAGAGCCGGTTCCTTAAGGACGGCGTAGAACGCCTGCCGTCCTTAAGGGGTTAACAATGACACTTCAGAAGTCTGTGGACAAATTTTTCACTCTAAACCAGTATTCTTAGAGCTGGTTGAGCAAAATGAAAATGTAATCCACAAACACTGATCCTCCTCACCATCTTTCTGTCTGTGTGTGTGTTTATGTTTGTGACTGCATATGTAATCTGTGAATGTGACAGTTGGTGAATGGTCGAATGTGACTTGGCAGGTTATTTGCTATGTGAGGGTCAAGGGTGGTAGGTTATTTGATATATGACTGAGTGTGATGAGTTAATGGGACTGGAGTGGGTACCTGGATGGGTGATTGCAACTAGATTGTGGTTTGCGATTAAGTGACTAGTTTGGAGAATGTGATTTAAAGGTGAATGCGGGTGAATATGTGAAAAGGTTGCATAGCAATATGTGACAGGGTGGGTGAGGGAAGGTGGTATGCAGGGCCAGCACAACCGTTAGGTGAACTAGGCATTCACCTAGGGTTCCAGCCTGCTGGAGGCGCCCACCGGGATATTTCCTGGTGAGCTCCCCCTGTCCTAGGCTTCAGCGCTACGCGAGCGGCTCTTGAGCCGCCCCCTCCCCAGCGCCAGGCCGATCCTCCAGGTGCCGAGAATAGGGGCGCAGAGAGGAGACCTGTCAGGGCGCCCCTGAAGCTGTCCTTCAGTATGGCAGAGCAGGCACCTGCTTACCCTCATGGCAGGTGCCTACTCTGCCGATAAATGCCAGAGGAGAGGAGGCAGGCAGTGGCAAGGGAGGCTCTTCTTGCAGCTCCCCACTCCTCCCTCGCATGCTGTCTGTGATGTTGGGAGCCGGAATATGACGTTATTCCAGCCCTAGCATACTAGACAGCACTCTGGAGGAGTGAGGAGCTGCCTCACACTGGACCCCAGGGAGGTAGGGAGGCTGGTTGTCTGAGTCTGTGTGTTAGTGACTGTTTGACTGTGTTTGACTGTCAGTGAGTGTGTGTGTGTGTCTGTCAGTGAGTGAACGTATGTATGTCAGTGAGTGCCTGTGTGTGTATGTCTGTCAGTGAGTGTGTGTGTGTGTTTGATTGTCAGTGTGTGTGTCTGTCAGTGAGTGTTTGTCTGTGTGTGTGCATGTCTGTCAGTAAGTGTGTGGGTGTCTGGCAATGCGTGTGTAAGTGTTTGATTGTCAGTGAGTGTCTGCCTGTGTGTGTGTGTGTCAGTGAGTGTATGTATGTCAGTGAGTGTCTGTGTGTGTATGTCTGTCAGTGAGTGAGTGTATGTCTGTCAGTGAGTTTCTGTGTGTGTGTATGTCAGTGAGTGTTTGTGTCTGCCAGCGTGTGTCTGTCATTGAGTGAGTGACATAAGGGGGCGGCAAAATGGATCTTTGCCTAGGGTGGCAGAAATCCTTGCACCGGTCCTGGTGGTATGGCATATGTTTTACTTTGTAAAGTGATAAAGCGAGTGGGTGTGCATGAAGTGAAAGTGAGGAGGTATGTAAAAGGGTGCGTGTAAATTACTTGTCAGTGAGGGGGCATGTGCAAAATGGATGTAAGTGGCTTGGAGGTGGGGAGCAATGGGCAGTGTAAGTATAAGAGCTTCTAAGTGGATGAAAGTAAGTGACTGGGATCTAGGGGGGTGTTGCAGGTTGGATATAAGTGACTGGGAGGTGGAAGTGTGCAGTGTGGGTGTAACTAGCCAGAAGATAAGGGGCTTTGTTAGTGGGCATTACTGAATACAAGGTGTGGGTACATGCAGAGTGTAAGTTACTGAAAGGTGGAGGGGAGTGGGATTTGTAGGGTGGGTGTAAGTGACAAGAATATAGGGGTGTGTGTGTGAGAAGGATTTGTGCAAATGACTTGGAGGTGAGGAGTTAATTCATTAAAAGTGAGCAGGAGTGTAATTAGGGTTTTTCTAATTTATACTATTCACTCACCATTTCTATTCCCATAGTCAGGGCCGCCATCAGGGGGTGACAACCGTGACAGTTGTCACGGGCCCGGCGGCCCTGGGGGGCCCGGACTGCTCTGGCAGTCCTGGGCCCCCTTTCCCTTTCTGCACACATAGATAGCGAATATCGCGATCTATGTGTGCCGCCGCGGCCCCCCCGGCTCCCTGTTACCGCAGAGGGGGCCCAGGCAGCACAGGAGCAGCTTCTCCTCCTCTCTGCTCTCTTCTCATAACTCTCGCGAGACCCGGTTACCATGGCAACGCTCCGCGGGTCTCGCGAGAGTTATTAGAAGATTTGAAGCTGTGTGCTGCCTGGGCCCCCTCTGCGGTAACAGGGAGCAGGGGCACCCCCCCCCACCGGACCACCACGGATGGAGTCTCCCCCCTCCCTGGATACAGGTAAGCAGGGAGGGGGGAGAAACATTTAATTACATCAATAGAAAATTAATGTTAAAATGCCCCTTCCTCCCCCTCCCCCCCCCAGATCACACATTTACACAACACACACTGCATACACTAACACAACACACACACTGCATACACTAACACACACACACTGCATACACTAACACACACACACTGCATACACTAAAACAACACACACTGCATACACTACCACACCACACACTGCATACACTAAAACAACACACACTGCATACACTACCACACCACACACTGCATACACTACCACACCACACACTGCATACACTAACACAACACACACACACTGCATACACTAACACAACACACACACACTGCATACACTAACACAACACACACGCACTGCATACACTAACACAACACACACACACACATGCTGCATCCACTAACACAACACACACACTGCATCCGCTACACATTAACACACACTCTGCATCCGCTACACACTAACACACTCACTGCATCCACTATACTGACACACACTCTGCATTCGCTACACATTAATACACTCTGCATTCACTACACTAACACACACTCTGCATCCGCTACACACTAACACACACTTTGCATCCGCTACACACTAACCCACTCTCTGCATTCACTACACATTAACACACACACTCTGCATTCACTACACTAACACACACACTCTGCATCCGCTACACACTAACACAATCTCTGCATTCACTACACTAACACACACACTCTGCATCCACTACACACTAACACAATCTCTGCATTCACTACACTAACACACACTCTGCATCCGCTACACACTAACACACTCTCTGCATTCACTACACTAACACACACTCTGCATCCGCTACACACTAACACACTCTCTGCATTCACTACACATTAACACACTCTGCATCCGCTACACACTAACACCACTCTCTGCATTCACTACACATTAACACACTCTGCATCCGCTACACACTAACACAATCTCTGCATTCACTACACTAACACACACTCTGCATCCGCTACACACTAACACACACTCTGCATTCACTACACTAACACACATTCACTACACACACACTGCATTCACTACACTAACACACACTCTGCATTCACTACACATTAACACACACTCATTCACTACAAATTTACACACACTCTGCATTCACTACAAATTTACACACACTCTGCATTCACTGCACTAACACACACACTACATTCATTACACTGACACACTCTGCATTCACTACACACTAATCTGCATTCACTAAACTATGCATACACTATGGATTCACTATACTGACACACAATCTGCATTCACTACACTAACATACACTCTGCATTAACTGTACACACAGCATCCACTACACAAACATCCTGTATTCACAGTACACACACTACATCCACCACACATTGAAACACTCTGCATTCACTATACACAGACACTGCGTCTAATACACGCACTACATCCACTAAACACATTTCATCTAGTACATACAAACACTACATCCACTACACAAACACACACTACATCACTGTACACACACTATATCCACTACTCAAACACACTCTGCGTTCACTATACACACTGCATCCGCTACACAAACACACACTCTGCATTCACTGTACAAACAGTATCTAATACACACAAACACTACATCCATTACACATATTCTAATTCACTTCCACTATACACACCACATTCAGTCCTGCATCATTGTCAGCGGACCAGGTAGGGCGTGTGCGGGCCCGGGAGGGAGGGAGGGGGGGGGCCCAAACCTGGTGTTTTGTCAGGGGCCCCAAAATTTCTGATGGCGGCCCTGCCCATAGTGTGACTTGTAGCACCCAGTAGCCATCTAAAATAGGATCTAAGACCTGCGTACAGTTCCCGTGGCATGCTGCATGGTAGCTATTCTCTTGTATCCCAATCAGGGAAGAAGTGGTATTCATTGATAAGGGGGTGAGAAGTAGGCAAGGCTGCATTTTAAAGCAGCCCAAATACTGTGCCTATTTATTGCAACTGCCTGCCTTTCAGTCTATACAGTAGCTGCAAAGAAAAGTGCCATGGAGCTGCTCTGTCACTATACCTGGTGGCAGAACAGGCTAGTTGGTCTTTTTGCCAATTCAGTTTCACCAGGTGCACCACTCTTAGCTCACTCTCTGCTTAGTGCAACCATTTTTAAATTCAGCAAATCAAACTGCAGTGTGTGCAGGCAAAGCATGTCAGGATACAAATTGGCAATTGTTTTCGAGATAAAAATCAGCATAACACACATATGGGCCCATAGGATGCCAGCATTACCACTGAGAGAGGTGATGAGCCTTTCCAACAGCTATGCAAAAAAAATAAAAATACAAATTCGCAAAAATAACTGGACTAGGGGTAGCTCAGTTTACTGATCCAAATAAATATAGGGCATAGGGGCAGAATTTGCCAAAATCTTCTGAGCCTAATAATGGAATGAACAATATTTGCCATAAATAAGACCAGGGGTTTCCCATGCCTTCAATCTCAGATAGTTAAAAATAACCCCAGATTACTTGAAAACCATGTTCATGAATTTCTATGGTTGTGTTTTGTTTATTTAGCTGTTTTGTTTTTTTTTACATTCTTTATTTATGCCATAGTCATGGAAAATGCATTGTAAAAGAAAGATAAATTATGCATCAATTGAAATATGAGTGGCACATAACACAGAAAATTATAAATAACAGGGTTGCCTATTTAGTTATTAGTTGTATTACTTATTTCTGTTTATGTCTCTTTGTTAGACACCTGTATGAAGAATGAAGATATTCGCAAAGATTCTGTATCTTACGGATTTGCCAATTTATTATATATTTCATCAGCCCTTCTCTTAGTGGTAATTTTCATTACGTCACTTGCATGTGCTACGAAAAGGTACGTGCTAGCTTTTTTTTTTTTTAAGCTATAGATATACTACCCATCAAAAGTGAAAAAAAAAAATAATTTATGATGCTGTTAAAGCATTTGTGGGTAAATTACCTGCCTCCCTTACTTTCAGTTGCCATGATATTTCTGCACTCTCAATCAAATGAAATTCACTCTGCTGTTTGCCCTCTGGCTGTTTTGGCAGAGTGCACATCATTGACCGGTGTTATTTTCCCGAAAGGGCAGACTTATTGCATTAGTGTCCCATCTCTCAACTTTGCTGGTCTATTTTCTTGTACTCTTATGTTTTCTTGCCAGTCGAGTAGCTTTGTTTCATACAGAGAGCTCCCAACGAACACTAACAATGTTGCGTTAGAGGTCACTTACCTCTAAAGAGTTTTTTTGCTACGGCTCCTTTCCACCCAGGGAGATACTTACTAGTGAGGATAGAGAGCATGTGAACTACCATCAGACATCACAGGGTCCTTACCAAACCATTTTGTGTTTCTATCCTGGCACACACAACCACACATTCAGACAGATAGAAACTCACAGACACATATATGTTTTTAGATATGTGCACACATGGATGAGTTCTCCTAGACACACAAACACAGATACACACGCAGTGCTATATGTATGCATTCCTAAACGATAACAAACACAAAGACATGCATTCACAGACCTACTAACAAACAAATAAACACTGATCTAGATACACATATATTCCCAGACATATACTGCTACAGACACTCATGCACATTTGTCACACACACAGATGCACACTGTCACGCACACACTTTTATAAACACATATACACACTAACATGCTTATTTACTAACATGAGAATTTAAAGTGAATCAAAGTAAATTTCAAATTTAAGGGCAGGGAAGCTGAATGGAAAGCATGGCTGACTTAGAGATTTTTTCCAGTTTGGCTATTTTGACCTTAAATTTGAAATTCATGTTGAATTCACTTTGAATTCTCACTTTAGTGAATAACCCTGCAAGTTGAATCGCTTTAGGTGTTTGGAAGTAAGTTTATAAACAGTGTCTTGGTTAGCTATCAATGGAGATGTTAAATGTGAAATATGGATATAATATTTTGTTCAGAATAATCTGTGCATTTGTATTTTACTTTCCAGATTAAAAAAACATGTGTTTCCAGTTATACCTGACCCGAAACATACATTTTCTAGTCTTTTTGAAGTCTATAGAGGAAATTTTCAGGTACAGTGTTTCTCTTAGTAAATTCTGCGTTTGAAAAAATAACAAATGTGTGTCACAGTGTCATTTCATATAAGTCTAGCATTCTAAAGCTGTCTTTTTAAAAAATAATTTAATTTTGTATTTTTGTTGTGCATAATGACAATAACATGCAAGCTCGGGGTGCCCCAACAGCAGTCCTCTAGCATCTTTCATGCATAGCAATAGGAGCATTAAGAGACATAGGCACATTTTTAAGTATTAGAACAGTGGTATTAGAACAGTGGTATGGTCAGACGAAAGTTCAAGACTTTCAAGCTTGAGCGTCAGGTTGATCAAAATAACACAAGATATGCAAGTATTTGTCAGGGTGTCAGCAGTTCGTTATCTCAGTGTACGTGTATATAGGGTATGCAAGCTGACTGGGATGCGGTTGATGGTTGTGTGGTGTCCTGTGTCAGTGTTTAGGTGCTTGTTGTGGTATAGTAGTGGTAGTGGCTCCCCCGGGTGGTTTTCTAGTGTGTGAGGTCTAGTGGGTGTGGGTGAATGGAGTGGGCTTAAACTCGGTCATTTAGTTGTAAGTGTGTGTGGTTGTCCCCTAAGACTTTGAGTTGTAAACGCCTTTGAAAGAGGCTGCAGTCTCAGAGTTTGTGCGGCTGCCCAAGGATTATGGCGGTCAGCCGATGCCCGGTGGGATCTCAGTGGTGCCCTTTTGTGGTGGTCTGTGTCTCGCCCTCGGCAGCCGGGAGTGCAGGGGAGAGCCATCCAGTTGTGGAGGTCTGGCTTGCTGGATCGGTAGGTTATATGGGCCTTCTTTTTAGGAGTGGTTGTGGGCTGCAGTTGGTCCCCTGCAGTTGCTCTGTTGCTGCCTCTATGTTTGGCCTTGTGCTCCGCCGTCGTCTGTCGATTGCGGTGGGCCGTGCCTTTCCGGGGCCTTCGCTGTATCACTGCTTGTATGCGATGCAGCTTTTGTTGATTACTCACTGGTGTCCCATTGGCTTGGGCGTGTCTTCTTGTAGTGGGTCTCCATGCTGCTGCTTTCAGGCCGGCTCTTTTTCGGTGCCTTGCCGCCTTGGAAGTGGGTTCTTGGGGGGTTTCCCTTTCCCTCTCTTTGACTTCCCGTGTCGAGTCCTGTATTGTGCTGTCTGGCAGTGCCTCCAGCTTCTCCCAGAATAATCCAAAGATATACGTGAGTTGGAGTTCTGTTTCTTTTCTGGCATTGCATATGTCTGCATTGCGTGAGCAGTCCGCCATTTTGTAGACCTTAGCTGTGACCTCCGGACTTCTGGTTTGTCTTACTTGGGTATAGCTCGTCAGTGGGCTTGTGTGGGGGTGGTCCGGGATAACCACCGCCGGGGCATTGGGGGGATTGGACGAGGGCGCTGGGTCAGATTTCAGGCTATTCGTGGCGCCATCTTTCCCGTGCGCGCCATGATTGTAGGCCCCACCAGGGTGTCGGGTGCGTACAGTTTAATGTGTCGCTTGGCTGGTATCTGTGTGTTCTCCCCTATGTCCCCTTGCGCTGGGTGGCCTTTGTTTGCCTATTGTTTGTCGCTTAATGTTGAATTTTCTGTCCCCTTTAGCCGCAGCTGCTGAGGCTGCTCTTAGCTCTGCGGTCAGGCCCCGCCCTCTTAAAGCTGTCTTAAACATTCACATTTATAGAATATTAGTTCAATTATCTCAATCTGGGGATCTTACAAGTTTGTAAGAAAATTATTGCGCTAATCAAATTGTATTAAAAAAATTGTGTGAAATACCAAGAATCTTTTTGACAGAGAGCAGACAGTTGTATTGCTACCAAATTATTGCTAGAGCAAGCATGTCAAACTCCCGCAATTAATATCTTTGTGGCCCAGTGAGCTACGAGTACAAGCTTACTTACATTGCAGGTGCCTACTTTGCTAAAATTTACTTTAGCAGACTATATAGAGTCTGTTCTTCCTGCTCCTCACTGCTCATGTGTGCCCTCTGTGGTGATGCAGAGTGCCGGAATATGATGTCATTCCAGCCCGGCATCACTAAACTGTGCTCGTGAGGGAGCAGTGAGGAGCAAGAAGGGAGACTTCCAGAGAGAAGATCCCCACTGGACCCCAGGGAGAGGCCCCACACCAGCTCCCAAAGGTAGGGAGCAATCAGCAATAAATAAAAGGATTTGAGAGTGTGTGCAAGAATGTGTAAATGTGTGTTTCTGACAGTCAGTGTGTGTGTGTGTCTGTCAGTGTGTCAGTGAGTGTGTGTATCTCTGTCAGTGAGTGTGTCTCAGTGAGTGTGTGTGTGTGTCTGTCAGTGTGTCAGTGAGTGTGTGTATCTCTGTCAGTGAGTGTGTCTCAGTGAGTGTGTGTGTGTGTCTGTCAGTGTTGCGATGGCAGCTGGACAGTGGAGGACCCGGAGGTGCACAGAGGCACGCAATGCCACGTCAAATTCCGACATGACATCAGCAGGCTCCACCTTCACAGGGTTTCAAGGAGTAGCGAAAGGATCTGCTTTGGCACAGAGCATGGACGACGCCATTGTATTTTTTTTTTTTTTTTTAAACAGGGGCAGGGATTTAGCAGAGTGGGGTGCTGGGATTTAGTAGAGAGGCGGACTGGGGTTTAGTAGAGGGGGGCTGGAGTTTTGTAAAGGAGGGTGCTGGGGTTTAGTAGAGGGGGATGCTGGTAATTTTTTTTATACCCTACTTTTGAAAATAAACCCATATTTTTATGACATTGTGAGTGGGTTTTTTTTGTGGCCCACATAAACTTAAACCTTGTTTATTTGGCATGTGCTAGCCTTTATGTTTGACACGCTTGTGCAAGAGTGTTAAGACTCTGGTGCCTAGGATGGTTGAATGCCACCACTATGTGTGAAGGTATTGAACAGCTTAGTTATGACATCTATCTACCACAGAGAGAGATTTATATATTAATGTTAATTTGATACACTTAAAGGACAACTGTCAAGTCAAAACAGTTTTTAATATAATAATCCTGTCATCAAGCTTTGAAAGGAAATATATATATGTATATTTTTTTTCAAATGGGGGTATATGTAAAGAAAATAAAGTACCTTTGTATATGACAGGATCCTTCAGCCCTATACATGCACCTTGGGTCAGAAAGTGTTTGAAAAACAACAGTCTCTATGGTCTTTCCGGCTTCACTCCCTGCAATGACGCATGGAAGACCATAAGGACTAACTGTTGGTTTTCAAACACTGTGTGACCCCAGGTACATGTAGATGGCTGAAGGATGCAGTCTTATACTGGATGTGCTTTACTTATATTTAATTTACCAAAATAATTTTTTTGTCAAAACTTGATGAAAGGGTTATTAAATTGCAAAATAGTTTTGATGTGACATTTGTACTTTTATGTGCAAAAGGACAAGTCTGACAATGCATGAGCTGTCTGCAAACTAGACAAGCTATAATCTCAATCTCTTCTAGGCCATCACCAAATATTTTATGGGGTGAGTGAGGAGGAGGGCACTAATTGTTTTTTATGCGATCATAGCCTTGTGCCTGTTCACGTTGATCTCTGACATGATTTCTTAAACTACTCACATTGTTTAATGAAGAGTTCTGAAATATAATATTATGCCATGTGCTCTTTTTAGTCAAGCATCATATACTAAAGTTTTACTGTATAATAAAGATAATTGCGAAATTCACTTTTACAAGCAGAAACTACCATATTTTTCCATGTATAAGAAGACTCCTATTTTTTTAAAACTAAAATTAAGAAATACATATTTTAAAAACATCTATAGCACTACAGTCCCTGGCCCACTCACACTCCGGTAGGACGCTCCCCGAGGTCCATCCATATTCGGACACTGGTTCCCTGGACCACCGACTTGCTGTTGGTGGCAACGATCCCCTCTGCCCGCGGTACCCTACGAGGGGATATCTGGGCAAAGCCTCACCCTGCGGCATCTTTCTGTATTCCGGAGCTGTGAGGTCTTGGCTTGGTCCAGAGTGATGCGAGGAAGCATGAGGTTGCACAATATCTCCCAGACCCGCGCACAAAATCAATCAAATTCACGGAGAAGCACATCCTCTGCTTCAATTATGTCAGCAAGTGTACAACACAGCCTATGCCCGCAGGAACCTGACACAACAGTCAGCTGACTATTCTGTCAGCGAGTAGCCCAGTTTGGTGCCCAAATTGTGCGGAGTAAGTGCCTTAAGTATTTGGCTTAATAATTAGATTAGACCTCCAGCCATATGCCACTAGCTTATTTGGCTGTCAGGCCCCACGCACAAGTGTTTTGTTTTTGTAACCCCTGCAGAGACATTCTGTGTATAAGAACCCCGATTTTAGACTAAAAAATTTTAGAAAAAAATAGTCTTATACATGGAAAAATACTTTTCTAAATTGCTTTGTTACTGTGGAGTATCTAGTTTATCTACTTACATATATTCACTGATTTTTATTATAGGAGTGGACAAAGATATCTGGGAATGAAACACAACATGTACAATTGGAATTTCTTGCAAATGAGGACATTATTGAAGAAAGATGTGACAAGCAAAAGCAAATGGAAAAAGAAGTGTATTTTGTTGAAGATGAGAGCAAAGAAGAAAAGCATACTCCAGAGAGAGACTACACTGTTTTGCCAGATATTCACCATATAGCAATGGAACAAATGAAACATATTATGATGACTTCTGCAGAACCTTTGGAGAATGATGCTGATATTTGCATTGGAAATGTGACATACACAATGAATGACAGCATGTATATAATGCTTTAATAAATTGAAAATACTGAAAGGGTTGGGTGAACGGTATCAAGAGCAGATAAGCTAAAGTAATCGTAAATATAGGTGTAAATAGCAAGGTAATGAATGGATATAGCAGTATTTAGTTGTACCTTCCAAAACTGGAATTGGAATGGCGGGGTGTGACATTCCACATGAAAGCAATATTTTTATATGGTCTCACCCAGAAATGGGACCAATCAGTGTGGTGTGAAAACATGCCAGGCTGACTGACAGCCATGTTGACCACAATCACTAAGGACTGCCAATGTGAAAAGCTCTTCTAAAGAACTTTGTGCAGTGCAAACCAGAGCGCAAACCTGAGATGGCAGGACAGGACTCCAAATCTGATTATGGGACTGCTGGGAGGCATTCTTTATTTTTTTTAAGTAAGTGTAGCATTAATAGAATGAGAAATATTGGCTTAGGATTAACTAAAAAGAAGAATAAGTAGGATGGGTGTTCATAAGGCTTTCTAGGATGTTTAAGGGTAAATAAAAAAAAGATTTTCAGTGCTAACATACAGACTTTATATACTGCTTCACCAATTAAAGAAACTCTCCAATCACCAACACAACTACAGCTCACTGCATTAATTATGGTTCCAGAAGTGCCCTGGCACCATACCAGTACAAGTAGTCATACTGTTTAAGAATGGTTTGAAACTTACCTTGTGTCTGCCAGCTGTCCACCTCCTCCTCTGGAGTGTGAAGCTGTTGCAAGGTGCTATTGTCAGCTAAGCCCTCCAGTTAAGGGTTGGTACCCTGGCCGAATGTGTCAAACTGATTGCTCTAAACCTTTGAATCCCTCCCTGCACTACTTGGCTTTGTTCAGTGCAGGAATGTCTAGGGTGTATAGGTGGCGGCAGGTTTTTCTGCAAATGGTCAAACTGTTCTTGATTACTTACATTGGTAGGGCACCAAGGCACTCTACAAAGGCTACATCAATGGCCTGTAGGAAGTATGATACTTAAAGTGTTCCTTTAAAAAAGCTCATATTATTTCATGTTAACATAATAACATTATTCTGGCAGTTTTCATTCTCTCCTGAATAGTATAATTACACTTTTTGTAAATGCGGTTTATAAACTTACATTTAATCTACTTGCCTGTAGAATGTGTTTGACTTTGTATGAAGTCAATTAAAAAACAAAAACAGAAACGGAAGTGTAATATCGTCTATTTATCATGTAGTATGAAATATAAATATCATTGTACTAGATTACATAGCATGTTGGGTGTTGTTTAGATGCTGATATACCAGACCATAGAATGAATTACTCAAAATGGAGAGCACACGTATATTAAAAAACAAAAACAAAAAAAAAAACAGAAACCAGTGTTAGGGTGCTCACTATGAATACCCTGTTACCTGAAAGTCAAAACATATTCATAATAGTATAACAAGTTAAGGGAATAATCCTCCCCTCTTCGCTTCTGTTTCTCTCAACCGCACTTGGACTGTCCCCAGCTATTGAACAGGAGGTGATTGTACATCTCCTTTCCTCTCTCCCCACCACCTTATCAGATGCCTTTCTCTGTCTTCTGTTGTCCTTAATGCATATCTGCAAATGCTCTCTCTGGTATTGTCCCCACTCCCCTTAAACAGCAGTGTCCAGCGAAGTAGAGCATCAGTGGTCGGAGTTAAAGAATGGGCCACGAATCATGTAACCGACATCGCCCAAAGGGGCACACATGCCCAGAAAGGGGACGAATAATTGGAAGGCCAGCCTGGTGTCAATGCATGCAAGAATGATCAGCAGTCATGCAGGCTGGCCAACTAAGGCTGTACTATGCAGACAGCTCCCTGAGCTTGGCATAAATGCGTCTAATGATGCACTCGCTCTACGCTTTCTGTGGACTCTCCCCTAGCACTCACTTGCTCACTCCTCTTCTTACCTTCTTATTAGCAGTCAGAAACTCCTGATATACAGCCTGGGACAGAGAAAAGGTCGATGTATTGAGTGTAGAAGAAAGGGGACATGCCACAGTGTTAGAGAGACTGTAGCAGCAAGAGCATTTGCACAGTGTGCCAAGTCCGCTTTACCTTAACTAATTTATAGTCAACCAGCTCACACCAGTGTTGTTTCTCCACATCTTTCTTAAGTTTCCATACTTAATTCCGTTTGCACAATGCTAGAACATGTAAAAAGTGAAAATATATATATTATTGTTATTATTTTATCACTGTGCCTATGCCATGGGCATGGACTTGGTACTTAAGCTTTATCACCCCTTATGTTAATCCAGCCCTGTCTATATCTAAGCCATGATCATCATCATATCTTCAATACAAAGAACAGAGTCATTTGCACCATTTGTAGCCGGGAAGCCACAGTTATGATAACAATGACAGAAGAATGTGTGATTTTAGAACCAACCTTAATATAGTCCTTATTTAATAGTAGTAATCATTTAATTTTGTTGTATAAAATAGACAACTAGATATTATAATAGGATTGCAGATAAAATAAATCTTAATTTAATAACTTCATCAATGAGGTGTGTTCACTGCTAAGAGAAAATTGCAAATGCAAACATAGAAACATAGAATGTGACGGCAGATAAGAACCATTCGGGCCCATCTAGTCTGCCCAATTTTCGAAACAAATGAAACGTGTGTAACATCTGTGAATTTAAAAATGAAAAAAAAAAAATCATGTAAGCAAGAAGTCAACTATAATCATTACTTGCAATCCAATTTGATAAAGGACTTTCGAATATACCAGTAACCCTGTAGTTTTTATGGTGCCAAGATTTCCCTGGAGCCCCCCAGGGCCGGTGCAAGAAATTATGCCTCCCTAGGCAAAGATCCATTTGGTGCCCCCTCTTGAGATTTCCATTGTCACAAGTGTATTCACTATAT